CTCAAAAGGAGACCCAAATGACAGTTTTTCCCTGAAAAAAGTGTCATAGCAGGACATTTTATCTCAAAGAATTGCAATAGTAGGGCTTTTTCCATCAAAAAGAGATCCAAATGACAATTATTCCCTCACAAAGATGCCCAAAATGGGGCTTTTCCCTCAAAAAGAGACCCAAATGACACTTTTTCCCTCAAAAAAGCCCCACAGCAGGGCCTTTTCCCTCCAAAACGGGACCCAAACGAGGCTTTCCCTCAAGAGCGCCATGGCAGCGCATTTTCCCTCAGAGAGAGACCCCAAAGAGACCCAAACAACAGCTTTTCCCTCCAAAAATGACCCCAAGGAGGTTTTCCCTCCGAGAGTCCCCTGGCAGCGCATTCACCCTCACGCAGGGACCCGAACGCCCCTATTTCCCCGCCCGAGCCGTCCCCCGGCGGCGCCGATTCCCCCAGACCGAGCACGGCACCTACCGGCCTTGCTGCAGTCCACCGTGAAGGAATTCTTCTGGCCCACGAAGGCCTTGCTGAGCCCCAGCCCCTTGGCCAGCACCTTGGAGGCGTCCGAGGGCGCCCTGTGCGCGGCGGCGGCCGTGGGGGGCGCGGGGGCGGCCGCCTCGGCCCGGCCCGACGCCTCCACCAGCACCGAGGACGTCTCGCGCAGGCTGTGGCTGCTCACCAGGCGCGGGCCTGCGGGGACGGGGGCGCATGGCGCGGGGGGCGGCCCCGTGGGGGCCCCCGCGTCCCTTGTGCTCTTTGGTGTCCCGGCCACCCTCCACCTGGAGCCCACAGCGGCCCCCGATGTCCTCCGACGTCTCACGTGTCCCTCAGAGGGTCTCCCCACATCCCTCCGGCCTCAGAACGTCCCTCCCCACGTCCCTCTTGGTGCAAAAGGAACCTCAAAACGTCCCCCACACTCTGCCTGCCTCCGAATGTCCCCCCGAGAGCCCCCTATATGCCTCTTGCCCCCTCCTGCTCCCAACGTTGCCCCCCGGGGTCCGCACCGGTGATCTTGGCCTTGAAGGGGCTGCCCACGATGTGGTGGGGCCCGCCGTACTTGATGGAGATGAGGTAGCTGCCGGGCGCCATGGGCGTGTAGGTGACGCGGTAGCCCTCGGGGCACTCGTGGCACTCCATCTTCACCTTGGAGGGGCCCTCGATGGTGACGGCCAGCGCGCCGGGGCCCGCCTTGGCCGTGTTCACCACGAACTCTGCCGGGGAGCCTGCGGGGCGACACCGAGCCGTGGGGCGGCCCCACAGGGCGACACCGAGCCGTGGGGCAGCCCCACGGGGGGACACAGCGCTGTGGGGCAGCCCCACGAGGGGACACAGCGCTGTGGGGCAGCCTCACGGGGCGACACAGCGCTGTGGGGCAGCCCCACGGGGCGACACCGAGCCGTGGGGCGGCCCCACAGGGCGACACCGAGCCGTGGGGCAGCCCCACGGGGGGACATGGTGCTGTGGGGCTGCCCCACGGGGGGACACAGCGCTGTGGGGCAGCCCCACGAGGGGACACGGCGCTGTGGGGCAGCCCCACGGGGGGACATGGTGCTGTGGGGCTGCCCCACGGGGGGACACGGCGCTGTGGGGCAGCCCCACAGGGCGACACAGAGCCTTGGGGCGGCCCCACGGGGCGACACAGCGCTGTGGGGCAGCCCCACGGGGCGACACAGCGCTGTGGGGCAGCCCCACGGGGCGACACCGAGCCGTGGGGCGGCCCCACAGGGCGACACCGAGCCGTGGGGCAGCCCCACGGGGGGACATGGTGCTGTGGGGCTGCCCCACGGGGGGACACAGCGCTGTGGGGCAGCCCCACGAGGGGACACGGCGCTGTGGGGCAGCCCCACGGGGGGACATGGTGCTGTGGGGCTGCCCCACGGGGGGACACGGCGCTGTGGGGCAGCCCCACAGGGCGACACAGAGCCTTGGGGCGGCCCCACGGGGCGACACAGCGCTGTGGGGCAGCCCCACGGGGTGACACAGCGCTGTGGGGCAGCCCCACGGGGCGACACAGAGCCTTGGGGCGGCCCCACAGGGCGACACAGCGCTGTGGGGCAGCCTCATGGGGTGACGTGGTGCTGTGGGGTGACCCCACAGGGCGACACAGCGCTGTGGGGCAGCCCCACAGGGTGACACGGAACCGTGGGGTGACCCCACAGGGAGACATAGTGCCGTGGGGCAGCCCTGTGGGGAGACACCCAGGTATCCCCATCCAAGAGCCTAACAGGGACCTATAGGGAGCGACCCACCACGGGGGCCTATGGGGCAGACCCACCGTGGGGATGTATAGGGGCCCACCCATCACAGGGGCCTATAGTTCCTCCCCCACCAGAGCCTATGGGCCCCACAGGGCACGTACCGGTGGTGCCGCCCTCGAGGCCGGGCCCGTAGGCGGAGACGAGGCCGGGGTCGCCGGCCTGGCCGGGCTCCCCGACGCGCACCTTGAAGGGGCTGCCGGGGATGTGGGAGCCCTCGAACTTGACGTCGATGGAGTAGACGCCGTTCTCGCGCGGGATGAACCGCACCGCAAACTTGTCTGCGTGGGAGGAGGGGGTGTGAGTGGGGGGGACGGACCACTGTGAACCCCCAAAATGGCAGGGACCCCCAAAAACGGCAGGGACCTCCAAAAACGGCCGGAACCCCCCAGAACCGTCAGGAACCCCCAGACCCGGCAGGAACCGGGATGAACCGCACCACAAACTTGTCTGTTTGTGGGGAGGCTTAGTGGGACAGACCACTGTGTGGGGGGACAGACCACTGTGAACCCCCCAAAATGGCAGGACACCCCTAAAATGGCAGGAACCCCCTAAAATGACAGGACACCCCCTAAAACGGCAGGGACCCCCAGAACCAGCAGGACACCCCCAAGAAAAGGCACAGTGCCACAAAACTGGCAGTATACCCCCCCCCAAAACCTGGAGAACACCCCCGGAACGGGCAGGATACCCTCAGGAACGGCAGACCACCCCCAAAAAGCGAGCAGGATCCCCCCCGAAACCGAGCAGGATCGCGCCGCGCTCACCGTCGGTGACCTCGCTCACGTGGCACTCCTCCAGCGCGCCCGAGGGGCTGTGCACCTTGGCGTCGAGCGAGCCGCGCGCCCCGTTGAGGCTCACGGCGAACGAGGCCGGCTGGTGCGGCTTGAGGCCGGACTCCTG